GACTTTTTAAAAAAAACCAAAAAAAAAAAAAAAAAAATCTCTGCTATAGAGAATTACTGCTTTTAGGGCTGAAAAATTAATAATTAGCATTTACTGAAAACCAACTCCATGATAAACTGTTTACACCTACTGTAACTTTAGTCTTAACAAGTAATATTCTCTATTTTACCAATGAGAAAGATACTGAAATTAATTCTCAAGGTCACCAGAAGGCAAAAAAAGTTTCCAATCCAGAAATTAGAGTGTGTATTTAATGCTTTTAACTGCTCTATAATGCTGCTTCTCCTGCCAAAGAAAAGTCACTCTCATTCATTTTACACATGAAAAATAAAGCTCATTTAGATTAAGATATTTGTCCAAAGTGACAAAGCCAGTTAATGAGTAGAAAATATTATGACTCAATCACTACTTCTGTGTAACCCCAGCTACCAATCCATAAAAATACCTTACAACTAATTCAGGGGCAAATTAAAAAATATATGTTATTCTTTTTTTCAAAAGTGTTATATGGCCAATGTGGAAAAACAAACAAACAGAAACTGCAAGTGTAAACAGAAGGCATAGTAAATCAATGGATGGTTCTTTTTCTTTAATCTCTTCCCCAATCTTTGGTAGTTATGACTGATCACACAATCATCCTGAGGAGACTTAGAAAAAGAATGAAAAAAGTACTCAATTACTAGAGTACTTAATCCAGACTTCAACCTTCAACCATCTATTTTCAAAAAAAAGGAAAAAAGAAAAAGGAAGAAAAAGAAAGAGAAGAGAAGCTATGCCTGGTGGTGCATAACACCTTAATCCCAGCACTGGGAAGGCAGATGCAGAAGGAGCTCTATGAATTCTAGGGTAGCAAGGCTATACAAGGTGAAGAAAAGAAAAGGGAAGGGGGGTAGAAATTGTACTTGCACACTTTTTTCAGGAGGAGAAAGTGACTTCATATTACAAATTAAAGTTTCTAATTAACTGGTATCAATTATAATATGCAATAAGTTAAAAAGTGACATTTGATTAAAAAGTGACTTGATTTGGGATGTCTAGGAAAATGCTACCACCACCCTCTTTCACTTTCACTACCAGTTTGAAGAGGAAAAAGACAACAACTGAAACAGCCTGGGCATCGGCAGAAACAAGTTTAGAAATAGTTCTTAAAATGATCTAACATTTTATGCCCTAAGATGCAAGTTTTTGCGTTATTTTAAAAATGTCTCCTCCCGTAAGTTGGAGAAGCTCCCATCTGAACATGCTATAGACATTCACATCAGGATTACTGGAACTGCCAAGAGTTGAGCTCTCTGCTAAAGCACAAAAATGGTTTTGCCGGGGAAGAACAAGGAGTGGCAGTGATCTCTAGAGCCAGCCAATTCCACCGAGAAGCTTGTCCTATAGCTCTGACTGCGGGCAAGGTGAGGTAGAGCCGCAAAGATGGCAATAGCCTTGATCCAGCAGGGTCAGGGCCAAGACCAACATTACTGAAAACAAGCGGGGAGTGAGCACCGGAGACCTGTGCAAAGTGCTAGGCATCGTGGAAACGACTCGGAAAAGTAAGGGATTGCGGAGCTGAAATGGCCAGATTTCACGTAGCAGAGAGGAAACGACGGTTCTATCTGCAAGAACACTGCCCTACCGCAAGGGCACGGGCCTGGGGTCCTGGGGCAGAGTCCCGCCCCCGCCCCCCCGCCGTCTCGGGACCCCGGGGTGCCCTCAGCCAGGCTCACCTCTAGAGCGGAGGATCCTGAAGGCAGAGAAGCGGCTGAGGCTGCCAATTGCCCGTGAGGCCACCATCTTGAGCAGAAGAGAATGAAAAGTAGAGAGCGCTTGAAGCGTGGGCAGCCTGGCCGAGGACTTTTCTTTCCGCAGCCTGGCCAGCCGGGCGTCCACCGTACTGCCTGACTAAAACGCAAACGCTGAGCTGTCACCCCTCGCTCTCAACTAACAGGGCCAAGAGGACGCGTTCTCCTCGGCTGATCTAGGGCCTCGAGGCAGGGGGCGGGGCGTCTTGTTTTCTAGTCAGGCGCTAAGCGGACAGCCCGCGAAGTCTGAGGCTCGGGGCGTGGGGAGGCTTTGAGGTAGGGTCCTCGTAGAGCCTAAACGTCCCCAGGTTCCCCTAGGGCTTGTCACTCCGCAGAGATCCTGCCCGGGAGCGGTTGCTTTTGCTAAGGAGAACTGAGGTGAGGCGGCGCGCGAGTCGGACCTTTCTCCTGGCTTTCCCACAGGCGCTCCCACTTCCCTCCCGACTTCCCCGCGCCGGGGCCGGCTGCTGCTTTCCTGCCTGGTGGGGGTCGGGAGCGGAAGGAGGCTGCCCCCCGCCCGGCCCTCCGTGCCAGCGGCTCCCGGGACCGGTAGTGGGACCTGCGTTCTCGGTGTATCGAACCAGCGGTATCAATATTCTCCCCGTGCCACTTGGGGTTAACAACTGCGTGCGTGCATGCGTGCGTGTGTGTGTGGCTGTGTGTGCGCGTGTAACCCTGCGAAGATCTGGTTATCTGCACCTCCCCACTCACTTTATCCGTGAAGAAACCGACGTCGGTTAATCAGAGTGCGTTAACTGGTAGCCACAGGTGGGAGAACTAGGATTACCACCTATGTCTAAGCTCTGCGTTTCATGTTAGTGTGCGTGCGTGCGTGCGTGTGTGTTTGCTGGAAGGATAGGCTCCAGTCCTGGAATAAACTGGTTTTTAAAACGTGGTGGCTCATGCTTTCAGCCCCAGCACTAGGGAGGTAGAAGTGGGTCTCTGTGAGTTCGAGGCCAGCCTGGTCAAGATAGAGAGTTCCAAGTCAGCCAGGGATGCATAGTGAGACCTGGTCTCAAAAAACAAAACTAACGTCGGAGGTCTCCTGTGCATTGGGCACGTTCACCATTTTGTTTAAAACTTAAGATCTCCACATTACAATCATTTGCACTTTCTAGGTGACATCTGAGAGGCTCAGAAAGATTAGGTAAAATTTGTTCTTTGTTGAACAGCCAGGAATCAAACAGAAATGGCACTCACTATATAGATTATTCAGCAAACGAGGAACAAGAAAGGGCTGAGGAGTATGGGAAGAAGGGAGCTTTATGTTTTAAAGTTCAAATCAAATAGTCTTCCATCAAGAACACTTAAAGCTGAAACTGGGTGACTATTTTGGAATAAATTGCGAAAAGGATATTTACAGTTCAGAGTCTTTCCTTCTGCCCATGTAATGCTTTCTTGTGCATCTAATTGTATATAGCACTTACTTAGATCAGTGGTGGAAACTTTTTGCAAAGAACTCCACAAGAAACAGTTTCAGTTTTGTGAGCCCACCTTGGGCTCTATCATTATATTTTTGAAGTGTTTTTAAAAATATTATTTATTATTTTTATTTTATGTGTATGAGTGTATTGCCTGCATGTATATGAGTACACCCGTGTCATGCAATGCCACGGAGGTCAGAAGAGGTTCCCCTGGAACTGGAGTTAAGGACGGTTCGTAGCCACCATGTGGGTGCTGGGAATTGAAAAAGTTAATTTTTTTCATCTTGTAGAGAATGCATCCCAGAGATACTGTTCTATAACAGATGGGAGATTTCAGCAAAACTGCCTTGCTTCCATTTACTCAGGAAACTCATTGTCTTTCAATTGAGAAGGTGGAAGAGAATCTGATTTCCACAGAGCTCTATGGCCTGATGACACTGGGATCACAGTAATAACATAAAGCACCATGTTGATGATGCTCGATTATGCTCAACATTGGTTCTTCTCGCACTGACAGCACTTTCCACAAATTTAAAAAAATTTTATTATTTTATGTGTATGAGTGTATTGCCTGCATGTATATGAGTACACCCGTGTCGTTCAATGCCACGGAGGTCAGAAGAGGGTTTTGGATTCCCCTGAAACTGGAGTTAAGGACGGTTCGTAGCCGCCATGTGGGTGCTGGGAAACGAACCCGGGTCCTCTGCAAGAGTAGTCAGACCTCTTAACTGCTGAACCATCTCTCCAGCCCCTCTGTTACATAATTTTTGTGTTACTTCCAACTTTTTGCTTTATTTATTTATTTGTTTATTTTTTGCTGTGCTGAGAATCAAAGCCAGGCCCTTGCACATATTAGACACTTACCTCAACACTGAGCTGTATACATCCCTAACTTTTGGAACTCTTTGAAAATGTAAAAACTGGTATTAGAAGTATAGCTCCATGGTAGAGTACTTGCCTCATATGGGTGCTGGGTTCAGTGCTCAGCGCCCCAAAAGAAAAAATGTTAAAAACACTCTTACTGAGGTGCTTGGGTAGTAGGCACCCCTTTGACTCCATTTTATTGTTGTTGTTGTTGTTGTTGTTATTTATGTATGTGTTTCTGTGTGAGGGCATGTGAATGTAAGTGCCCTCAGAAGTCAGATCTCCTGGAACTGAAGTTAAAGATGGTTGTAAGCTGCCTGACATGGGTGCTGGGAACTGAAATCTGATCCTCTGCAAGAGCAGTTGGTGCTTTTAACCTCTGAGTCATCTCTCCACTGCCCCACTTTGATCTTCAATACTTTAGTACAAAGGGTTAGAGGGGAACTAAGCATATTTACATCATAACCCACTAATAATAGCAGGCACATAAATAAGCCTTACTAGGCATTATATACCATGTATCTGTATCTAGGTGTGTATTTAATTTTCTTAACAACTCTCAAATTGTCTACATTTTATTGAAGGCCTAGAAACCAAAAAGTCAAGCAACTTAAGGTCCTACAGCTAGGGTATAGCCAAGATTTGGACTTAGGCTTTGATCTGTTCTATTAACCTTGAATGTTGTATCTTGATGTTGTAATAAGCTATTAAAGTCACCCCCATATTCCTTTCATTCTTTGCCGACTCCTTTCTTTCCCTTTTTTTCCAAGAGCCTCTATGCTATATAAGCCTACACTACCCTGGTATTTCCATGTTTCGAATACCTTTGAGTTAAAATTGCTATTTTTCTGAAGTTTTGTAAATGACAATAAAGGTCAACTTTTCCATAAGGTAGTTGGCTTAATAGCTCTTACTTTAAAAATCCCTATTGTTAATTATCAAAGGATTATATAATTTTAGATCTTCTGCTAAACTTTGATTTTTCATTTAATAGGTATTATGGACATCTTTTCAAGTCAGTGTATACTCGTATTATCTTGTTTCATTTTTTCCAAATAATATTTCATGATGCGTTTGTGATATAATTTAACCATTTCTATTGATCTGCACTTAGTTCCAAATGTAAATACTACAATGATCACTTTCAATATTCTTATTGAGTAGCAACCAATTTGAGGAGTTATTGGACTCAAAAATTGACAATGACTAGCCATGGTAGTGCATGCCTTTAATCCCAGTACTTGGAAGGCAGAGGCAGGCAGATCTCTGAGTTTGAGGCCAGCCTGGCCTATGTAGCAAGTTTCAGGTCTTCTAGGGCTGCAAAGTGAGACCCTGTCTCAAAAAACAAAACCAGAAAAATGACAATTTGGAGCCATATTTGGTAGAGCATGCCTGTAATTACAGTACTCAGGATGCTGAGGTAGTAGGATTACCACCACTTAAAGGCCATCCAGGGCTGCTTAGTTAGACCCTGTCTCAAATAACTAAAAGTAAGAATAAAAAATTGACAATTTGTAACTTGGCAGAGTAACACACGACTGTAATCGCAGTCCCTGGGAGGCTGAAGCAGGAGTTCTAGGCCATCCTGGGCTACATAGCGAGACTATAGCTCAAAAAAAATTTTTTTTGAATTAGTTTATATTTTGATAAATAACTACATAAAGGCATTAGGAAGTTATAACTCTACCAATTAGTGTATTAAGAGCCAATTTAGTTAGATCTGTTCTTGTCATAGTTATATATTTTGAGACAGGGTCTTGTATCCCAGGCCCACCTCAAACTTGCAGTCCTTCAACCTGTAGAATGCTCAGATTACAGATGTGTACCACCATGCCTCCCTGGCTTTGCTGAAGATTGAACTGGGCCTTGTGCATGCTAGGCAAGAGGTCTACTATTGGGCTACATCCTTAGACACTGACTTGCTTTAAAATGTGTGTTTTAAAGATTATTTTGGGACTGGCGAGACGGCTTAGCAGTTAAAAACATTTCCTGTTCTTGTAGAGGAACTGAGTTTAGTTCCCGGAACCCAAGTTAAGACTGTTCATAACCACTTGGAATTCCAACTCTAGGGGATCTGATGCTCTCTTCTGGTCTCCTTGGGCACCCACACACATGTGGCATATACTCACACAAACCCTCATAAATAAAAAATAAAAATCCTTAAATAGTTTTTATTAGTGTAATTCAGTATTTTAATTTTCTTGATTGACTGATTAATATATGCTGGGGTTAAACCTAGGGACTTACGCCGAGGCAAGTGTTTTACTATTGAGCTGGCTTTCGCTCCTGGCATTTTAATTTCTTACATGAATTGCTCATTTGCTCGTTTTTGCTTGTGTTCTGTGTATCAGGAAAGAACCTATTTGGTTGCAAATACAGAAAATTCAAATAATTTGGCTTATTAAAAGGGATTTATTGGCTCCCCAACCATCAGGCAGGTTTCAGATAGGATGTGATCAGGGATTCAGTTTTAATATTTTCCCTTAAAATTTCTCAGCTGTCTTTTGGTGTCAGCTGTGTCCTTAGGTTGGCTTTATTAGTACTTGCAAACCTACAGCCATGACAGAAAGAAAGATTTGTGTTCTAGAATTGCAGGCAGAAATATTAGACTGACTAAACCATCCTTGCTTACATCAGTACCAGTGGTCAAGGCATTATTGTACATAGTTGTTTATAGGCCTGTGTTACCTGAACCTTTGATCTTGACCGAGATTAAGGTTATTCTGATTGGTTAAACCTTGGAATTGGGCTGGATTCAATCCCATGTAAAGTCCACTGTCAACTACGTAGAGGATGGAATGCATGCTAGAGTAAAATCTACAGATTACATTAAAGATTTTGTTTTCCCTATAATGTAGAACAAGCTCTTTATGGGTTGTGGGTATTAACCTTTTTTATTTATTTATTTATATGTTAAGATATTCCTCTAAATGTATCATTTGCTTATTTGCTTTTAATTTGAGCTAATGTTTTTGTTGTCTGTATATTTGAAATGTTAAAATAATCAGATCTGTTAAAACTATTCTTTTACAGTATGGCATCTAGATCTTGGTTGTATAAGATCATAAAGATATTCTCTAGGGCTATGGA